ATGTATGTGACTACAGCCTCTGTCGAACAGCAAAATGGGGTTCTACAGCGTAAACATAAGTGCTTCAATCATCCTTCGTGCTTCAGTGGGTCACTTACTCCAGGATACTATGCCACAGAAATGGAGGTCATAATAGCCATGTACCAGTGGGGTTCCAATACCACTCTTCCATCATTTCCTGTGGAGAGAACTTTGGTGTACTTTAAATTCAGCAGTGGAGCAGATTGTAAGGAGGGTAAGAAGCTAAAAGATACTCGCTAAAGAGAGAAGAGGAACAAAGTTATTCAAACAGGTACAGTTATTACTTTTTAATCCGCATGGAATAAATTTTGTTGACCTGTTGTTGGCACCATTATAGACCAGCGCCATGTTTGTGTCCTTTCTCCCCCTCTCACAACCAGACACATCAAACTATATTTGACAGGAAATTGTGTGCAGTCTTATTTCCCCCCCCCTTCTTCATTTTAGCCCTTTACCAGAAATGTAGAGTGGACATACTCTTTTTGTGGGAGTGACCATTGTGCTTCCATGCTGTCTCTACTCAGATTTTCAGGTACCCTACTGTGATTTTCCAGTTTTTGCTGTGGTGAAGTGGTAATACTGGCACAATAATTTTGTGCTACTAGCATTTTTTCTGTGTAAGCATATGAAGCAGTTCTGGTGGTTAATAAAATTTTATCTGGGCAGTTTACCTCTTGATTCATCTGTATACTATCAACATTTATCTGACTGCTAAAGAGCATCCTTTTATTTATATTCAGGCATTCCCTTCCTCTTTGCAAAACCTATTCATACCATACATCACCCACCAAGAATAAGAAGAGGCTAGCAAAGCTGTAAAAATACCAAGTTTGGGCACTGGTTAAGTGGGGCCAGGTGTTTTAGATAAGGTTGCAGGGTATGCAAAAAGAATCCTTAACCAAATATTTCAGTCAGGAACAGATGGACAGCACACTGCTTCTCTCTGTTCTTTAAAGGCTCTAGCACAGAAAATTACTATATATGTGCAGCAAGAGAGGAAGAAATGGATGGTGGCCATGAAGATCAAAGCATTAACAAGAATCAGGGCCTTCTAATTGTATGCTGATCCACTCTGCAGTGTTTCATGTCCACAGTCTTCTGCACCAGTATTCTCGTCTCTACTAATTATATGCTTCTGCACAGTCATGTTAGTCATTTGTGTGCATCATTTTTCCATATTCATTATGCTCATATTTATTCAAGAAAACAAGAATTGGAAATGTCTGGTCTGCAGAACATATTATCTACACATACACATCAATCATTTCATCCACCAAGTGTGCATCAGTTGCTGTTAAAATATAGCCCATTCTCATTCTGTCACATCTGCATACACACATTGATTTCAGGCACATAATCAGAACTATTACTTAAAGTACTTTATCTTTCTTGGGCCTTCAAACTTCTCCAATATAGGCACATACTGTAATCAGAACTATTACTTAAAGTACTTATTCTTTCTTGGGCCTTCAAACTTCTCCAATACTTACTGTGTATTTTTAAAAACACATGCAAGTAAGAAGGTGCCTCTATTGGAAGGAGGATAGCAAAGATACTAGCTAGTGGGACTCACTGCCCATAGAAACTGAATTACTGTAGTTGGAACTGCTTCAGGTCCCGACAGGCATATTGCTATTCCTCCATCTGGCTTCCACAGCCATGATTTCCCACTTTCAGAAGGAATCCCAAATACCAACCCTGCCTTGCCCTCAAGTAAAATTCCACAGGCTCAGGTAAAGGATTGGCTTCACCCAACTATGGAGGGACAAGAGTGCTGCCAATGGTAAGCCACATATGCAAGTAAATACAGTCCACGCATTAGGTCTCAAGCAGGAAGGACAGGGTTTATTCTCCAAAAAAACAATGGGAAGAAAAATGTCTTAATGATACAGAACATTGCAAAGGCTACACACCTCAACATCGTCCAATAAATAGGAATTGGGAAACCAAGTGTCTCAGTGTAAGTGTACAGTTTTTAAAGCTCTTAGTTGTCTGCTAGAGCCCAACAAAGATGGCCACTCAGTGACGTTCAAATCCCTTAGCTTGAGACAACCTGAATTACGTGTAGAATATCCCATACATTTGGTGTTAGCTGAGCTCTGAACTTAAAATGATCCTTGCTAAAGACCTTTCTCCACCATTTGCTATTTACCATCTGACACTAGTCCCCCATTATTTCTTCCTCACCATTGGCCCCTTTCTTTTTTCCTGTTGTTGTCATATAGCAACATGTGGAGAGAGCAGCAAGCATAATTGGAAAATAGTGATCTTTAGGTATTCTATATGAAGCTTCCCCGAGATATTTCTAACGACCATATTTCTGTACATCAAACTTGGGTTTTGTCCCTGATCTATATGCAAAGAAAGCTTTGGTTTTGGTCAGTAAGACGCAGATACATGGCACAGCTGAAACAGTAGCCCAGTTCAGATATGTATGTGAAGGCGAAGCTTCGTGTTTGTCCTGAACATACATTCTAACAGTTCCCTGAATTTGGATGTAATGCAGAAATGTTGGCTGTTTAAAAACAGAAGTAGAAGTGCCCAGCCTTCTCTTTGCAGTTAAGAGAGAGAAAAAGAAGGGGAAGGAAGACAGCATGAACTTAGGTCTCATACAGGCTCATTCATGTAGTGGGAAGCCATGCTTTCCTGTTATGACTGAGCCAGAAAAAGAGAAAGCAGCAAACAGAAAAGTGACACATTATACAGTACAAGAAAAGGGGGTGGGAGGGAAGCAGACAGCCTAGGCAGGAAATCAGCGTGGGATGGAATGGCTCTGTCGCTGAACCCTTTATATGTGGGCGGTCACAGTCATGACCAAAACCGCCACAACAATGTTTGTGCTTCTCAGGAAGACACAGATGTCAAATCTTCAGAGCAATCTAGAGCTGATGCCTGCCTGAAGAGGGTCAAATTTGAAGACGCTCAAATTCTGCATTGAGGCAGTAGGAGGCATTTCAAGGATGCACCGGAAAAAGGTGGTGTGTTGCCCTACTCTAGTAACAGCTTGGAAAAGCAACTTTTTGGGGCCTACAACTCCCAGCATCCTCCAGCCAGCATGGTTACCTGCAGCTGCCATCCAAACAATTACTCTTTCAAGCTGTGGCTTGGCTCGGGTATATATAAAACACAAACATATTCAAGGCTACAGATGGATACAAACCACTGGTTCAGTGGTTTGTGCTGGTTCATTTTTTGGCCAAACAAGTGTTCAGCACTTCCCAGCCCTGCCTCCTCTGACGTTTGTCTACTCGGGAGGCATGCCCAGAGGAGGCGGGGCAGGGAAGCCAGGGTGCTGCCCTCTGCATGGGTGGCTGTCAGAGGAGGTGAGGCTGGGAAATGCCAAACACCTGTTTGGCCAAAAAACAAACCAGCATAAACTACCAAACAGGTGGTTCATGCCCATCTCTATTCAGGGCTGGTGGTATGGAAGTGCAGCCAGAGAGAATTTGCAAATGAAATTAAACAGAAGATTCTGACTGGATCTAATTATCGTTTATTTCATGCTTGCATCACAGTACTTATTATTTTTCTGTGGACACATAACAAAAATATGACCAATTTAATCTTACCTACAAGAGTCATAAATTGCCCTATGAATAATTTTCCCCTTCAACCATATGAATCGAGCATATACTCAACATACGTTGTAAGAATGATTGAACCTGCAACTTAGCATACTGGAAGCCTGCTCTAAGGAGGTGGGACAGGTAAAAGGTTACGTTCTTAGCATGTTCGCTTAAAAAGATCAGGTAGCAGGTGATGGGATGGATCTGTGTGAAATCCCAGAAACCCAGCGCCATCAAGATCAACAATCCTGAGTGAGACGGGCCAGTTGTCTGGCTTGGTCTTAAGGCAGCTTTGGAAGCCTCTGCTCTCCCTTCTCTGAGCGGAGCTACTGCACAGACACGACTCGTACCATAAAAGAACTATCAAGCTGACATAACAGAGAATAAAGGCATAAAAGGATCCCACATGAAAGTCCAGTAGGAATAAGAGGAGATAAAATGAGGGAAAGAAAAAGAACCAGACACTTCATTGTATTATTGTAGGAAAATGGCTCTTGAGTTGGACCGGCCAGGGAAATTTTGTCACTGCCAATAGAGTCAAGCAAAGCAAAAACGAAAGTGTAAGTTGAACAACAGCCCTCTGCTTTGTGGCAAGGACTGAGAATGAAGGCAGAGATACTCAGAGCTTGGGATCAATTCATTGAAATTCACTTCATGACCTTTATGTAGTTTCTTTTAAATGTGAGGGTTTAAAAAGTCATTATTTTGAGTCATTAAAGCACAATAATAGCAATGCATTGAGTAACCATGATCATTTTCACATTGCTTTCATTGCATTACTTTGGAAATGATTTGAAGGTAAAATTTCCATTTTAGCCATTTTAATTGATTTTTAATTAAAAAGTAATGTGTTCATAACAATTAAGTTACCAGCTTAATTTGAGTCCTTGAAGCCAAGTTTCAGCCAACCCCCATGACCAACAGTAATGACCTAATCCCCAATTTAACATTACCCTTAATGTTTCAAAACTCTGGCTGTTCCCAAAAGTCCAGAATGTGCCACACACACACACTGGACAGTAACCATTCAGTGACAAGAACAGAATACAGTGGTGCCCCGCATAGCAAGTTTAATCCGTTCCGGATTAACCGTCGCTATGGGGAAACATCGCTCAACAGAACGGAAAATGCCATTGGAACACATTAAACTTAGTTTAATGCGTTCCAATGGCTTCTGTACGCACCATTTAGCGAAGTTTCCCCCATCCGGCAGCCATTTTCGCGCCCTCAGTAACCGAGGGCAGGGCGCGAAAACGCTGCGCACTGCCATTTTGGGTCGCACGGTGGCCATTTTAGAGCCACCAATCAGCTGATTTCCCGACATCGCAATGCGAAGATCGGTAAGCGAAACGCTTACCGATCTTCGCAATGAGAGTTTTGCCCATTGGGGCTGCCAGTATGCCTTCGCATTAGCGATCCCAAAAAAGGGGTTGCTATGCGAATTCGTCATTGTACAGTGCGCTCATTATGCGAGGCACCACTGTACATGATAACTACCAGGATGCAAGGAACCTGCTTGGCCACTGATCTAAGAGCCATAAGAGAGCAACACTGCCTGGGACTACCTGGGTCTATATCCTTGCTTAATCCTGAAGCTTTCTGGACCAGTCATAGCCTTCCAAGTTAATCAACCTTGCAAGTTTTTTGCAGGGATACAGGGCAGAATACCTCCTAAACAGTTCCGTTTAGAGGAGTCACCTAGCCAGCAGAATGGGTACCTCTCGGCTCATCCTCCTGGCCCCCAGAAATGCTGGTCTTCCTACAGTATTACTCTCCACTAATCAGATCTGGAAGCTAGCAGTCCCTTGCTCTTGTAGTCTTGAGTCCAGGACAGCCCCCCCTCCCACCCCCAAATGGCTTGAACTACAGATTTCCTTCCAAAAGGAAGAAAAGCAGTGGCCAGACAAGGCCAAGGCTTCCCTCCTTAGTTCTTCTTGCTTCCCGGGTTCTTGTTGTTGAATAAGCTGACCTTGCTGCCAGAGGAAGACTCCAGTTTCACTTTATCCAGTAGAGTCTTCTTGATGGCCGCTGGGGAGACTTTCTCCTGGTCAGCCAAGGACTGCAATTCTCTGTTGGGAAAGAGAATGAGCGTTCGCAGAAAAGACAGAAGCAGAGGTGCAGCGAGGAACAGGGCTGCCTCTGATCTCTCCGAGTGTACGTACCTTGTCCTGATGCAAGATGCCTCCACGGCATTGATGAGCAGGGAGCGGAAGCCCCCACTCTCCAGAAAGTGCAGGGCATAGATGGTGGCACCCCCTGGTGAGCAAACGTTGTCCTTCAGTTGCCCAGGATGTTGCTCAGAATCCAGTAGCATCTTAGCAGCTCCCTGAGGAATTGGACAAAAGAGTAAAACAATTATTATTATTTTACTACACATTTAAAAAATTGTTAGCTACTTTTGTACAAAGATACCCGAGATTACAGAGACGGAAAGTGGAGGCACCCCATATCAGAGGTGCTTCCAGATGGAGAGGTCCAAGCAAGCACTGTACGAATTGTGAGTGAGCAACCTGTTAGCCCTCCAGATGCTGCTGGAAGTAAAAGTCCCAGCAGCTGTTGTTGGCAGAGTCTGGAGGTTTGGAGAGCTGGGGCTGAAAAACATTTGGAGAGCTACACTTGGCCCACCCTCTGCACTATGACAGTGCAAGGGCCTTGTGCACGTATTCAATATTTTCCTCTTTCATGTTTTTTTCCTGGAAAGAATAAATAGATGAAAGCAGCAGTTAAGAAGCAGGAGATGGTTACTGAGCAGAGAACAATACTATCTGGACCCCTGCCCCCAATAACATTTGGTGAATGAGGCAGGCTAACTGCAGGATCAAAGTCTCAACCACAAGCATCCCTTGTCCTTTCTTTAAAACTACAAGATGCTCTACAGACTGGGAAGAAGACCCATGTGACTGAATTCTCACCCACGTGGACATTTAACATCCACAAAGCTTCTGTTCTCTCTTGTTACATCAACAAATAACCTGCTGAGATAAGGAAGCTGTGTTGTGTGTGCATGGCACCTCCCTGCAATCCAGACATCCAGATGTATTGCAATAAATTAAATGATGATTTAGGCATGGATCCTGGAACACTATTTTTCAGGAGAACCAATACAATCATGTGCTGAAGCCATTTATCACAGAGCAGGAGGAAGATGCTCTAGGATTGGCTGCATTTTAGTCGACTCATTCTTAAAAACAACTTTTTCGAGTTCTAGTTTGTTCAGACAGTAGTTTCAATCCGAAATGGAAAGACAGAACAGGTGTGGTTGGAAGAAGCCACCTCTAAAAGACAAGACACTCACCAGCAAAGCCTGGGCTCCCAGCCGGACTGCAAGCCTTCGAGGAAGGCCCATCTTGACCCCTCCATCTGCCAGGGCATCCAGGGCTGTGAAGGCCTAGGAGATCAAAAGAGTCCCAGAAAGGTAAGGCTAGGATCTGGGGAAGGAAAGGTCACCAGAAAAAGAAAAAAGAAATGCTTGGCCACATTTGTTCCTGGAACAGGTTGTCCCTAACTGAGCCCCTCCAGTGAAGCCAAGGCAGGCACCAAGGGTGGGGTTGGGGGGTGGAGCCCCTGCCTTGCCTCTGAATGTTAGCTGTGCATCTGTGCTATGTCACCACCCAGTCCAAGGACAAACAACTTTTATTTTGTTTGTTATGATGTATGTATCCACCAGGCGCTCAAGGCCGGGAGGCTGGTTCCAGCTAAACCTGGCCCTTGGACCACTGATGTTTGTTAAGATGTATGTATCCACCAGGCGCTCAAGGCCTCCCAAATCTCAGCTGTCTTTGTCCCTGGGTCATGACCAGTTTAAGCAAGCCACCTAGAAGCTCGCAAAGACATGGCATGAAAGACATGGCACTATGAAGCACCCATCTTCAACTACTACAGGCTCCTATGAAAAGGCAACATACTTTTGCTGGTCCTGTTCAAATATCCCCTTGGCCTAGTAAGTGACTTTTGCCTCACATAAGAAGAGGAAAAGAAAGGAAGGAACAGAACATACATAAGCAGGGCCACTGCCACTGAGCCCAGTGACAGCATCGATCAGGTCTTCTTCCACCTCTGTGCAGAAGCCCACGCTGGCCATCAGCTGCTCCAAGAGCTTTCCATCCTCCACCTCTGCATGGGTCCCCGTGGCATAGACAGTGGCCCCTTCCCGCACAATCACTGGGGTGTTCGTCATGCACCTGATCACTTTCGGGGTGGGGCAGAAGGCAGAGAGTTTCTTGACATGCAAAACAAGAGAGACAAGTGTGTGCATTTTGCTGACAAGCTTACACTCTCTTGGCAGAGAAAAATCCAACTCTGCATTTTCAAGGTTACAGATCTCAGAGAGAGGTTCTCGGGCTCATACCCTTGGTTACATGTATTGACCCTTCCGGTGATCCATGACAGGCTTCAGGCCTGCACAATCTACCATTCTGTTGTTGTTTGCTTATTTTTAAACTAAAATCCCCCAGGCCTGCCTATCAGAGCCCGCATGCAAAATAGTGATGAGGGCAGGTAGCCGCAGAGGAGAAATAAAGTACATAACAGGTTGTGTCCAAGCATAGGCTCAGCCTCGGAATTAGTAACTGGTACCAGAACAGAGTCCATGAGTCCTTTCGCACAAACAACCCAGTCCTGTTTCCTTGTTAAATGTTCTTTTTCTACAATCTGGCGAGGGATGGATGAGAAGGGCAAAAGCTTATTAGTTGTCATCACTCCTAGGATGGCTAAGGATCTAAAAACCTTTGGGGACCTAGCACAAATCACCCTGAGATGCAGCTATAGATTTTAATCTCCTTCCAGCCCTCCCCTGCTTTGGACCTTCAAATGACCGTGTACGTAAAATCCATGAGGTGGGTCCTGCCACCATGATCCTTCTGCCATCTTTTCCATACATATATCCAGGCCCAGCACTTCGTAAACTCATGGCCCTCCAGATGTTGGTTCGGCCTCGGTCCCCAAGATCCTGGCCCGTGTTGGCTCAAGCAGATGGCAGCTTACCGACCAAGAACATCTGGAGGGCAAAAACCTTTTCTACTCACACCGGACACCTGAAGATCCTTACAGAAGGAAGGGGAACCATTTTTTGCTCAAAGGCCTAAAAATCAGCTCAAGCTCTTTATATTCTAAAAATATATACAACTTGATAACCTCTTCCTCCCCACAATTTAAGAACATGCCCACAAGGTGGAGTGCTCAGTCTCTTAAGTATGGCCGAGCAATAAGCTTCTGTTGCCAATTGTGGGATGGAAGTCAACCTCTACAAACACTCCTAAGGCTAAGGCTCTGGCAAGAATCTCCATTGCTTACCTTTTTTTTTATTATTTGTTTATTAAATCAGTGCCCAGAGCACCAAATAAAGGAGGATCCGAAGGCTTATTATCAAGAGTACGGGCAAATCAGTCAGCAATAAGCTATCCAGGAGCAGGTCTCCTTCATTTTAAGATCCTAAGAGCCAGCCTCTTTTGGACAGGCCAGGGGCCTGCAGTAAGACAGCACCATGTCACTGATTCCCTCAGGAGAGGCAGCCTGATTTCATATTCACATGCTTTGCATAAAGTTTTTTTCCTGACACAGGAGATCCCAGGCCAGAGCAAGCAAAATGCTGAGCAAGCCATTTCACCACGTCATTTTCAGGAAGCAATTTCTGACCTGTCAAAATTACGACCAGCTATTTAATGTTCCAGCCAGATGGCCTAGACTTACAAACTCCAGGCTTTCTAAGTCATTAAATTGTACTTCGAAATCACTACAGAATGAAATACAGGGGATTGTTCTGATTAAGCCTCTTGACCTCATAACCACCATGGTAACGTTGCCTTCACACTCTCAATTTTCAACCAGGTGGGTTTAAGAAAATGAATGCAAGGTCTTAGCATTCAAGATGTAACAGCAACAGTTTTGTATGTGTACACTGAACTAGCCATGAACACTGAACTTCCCAGTGTGGGCAACTGAAAGCCGAATTTGATGTCTGAATGGGGCAGCAAGATTATTTTTTTCAAGCCCTGGCCCTAAATTGAGAAGATGTGGTAGGCTATCTTCCTCCGGTGGAAAAATGACATGGGTCAGTGTTGTTTAAATACAGAACTGTCCCAATCATCCATAAAGAGGAACTGGGACTGCAATGTCCTTGCTGATTTAGCTCCCCAAAACTTTTACCTCACAAGCACCTTCTCCTTGGTTAAGCTCTTTAATGAAAGCCAGTGTGGTGGAATGAACAGAGGGACGGACTAGGACTCAGGAGCTCCTGGTTCAAATCTCCACTCAGCCATGGAAAACATGGTGGAATGAACAGAGGGATGGACTAGGACTCAGGAGCTCAAAGTTCAAATCTCCACTCAGCCATGGAAAACCTCTTAGAAGGTGGTAATGGTAAAAACATAACTCACAAACTTTGAAAAGTCTACCAAGGTCTGCATAAATTGGATGCAACTTGATGGTACTTCACATACAAGCTCCTTCAGAGGAGTGATATTGGCTAGAAGAACACCTGGAGAGAAGGGCCTTGACCTTTCAAAGCTTGGAATTGTTACATTTTGGCTAGAGGATTTTGAAAGCTGAAGTCCAACTATTGGAAATTCTCAAGAAAGGCAGATCCCCATCCATTCTTTCTACATGGCTGCAATACTTCCATTCTGGCAAGTGTGTGTAGAACAATCATATCTGTTTCTAGTCTGGCCTTCAGAGGAATCCAGTAGCCACCTACTGCTCACACTCCACGGCACCTGAAGAGACATGTTGGTATTCAGTGTTGTGAGACTCTCACCTTCTCAATGGAGCTGATAGTGACGCCAGCAGCACATGAGACCACAATATGCCGGTTCTCTATATCTTCACCAATTTCATCCAGGATGAAGGGAATTATGGGAGGTTTCACCGCCAGGAACAGGACATCACTGTTTTTAACCGTCTCTTTGTTGCTCATTGTGAAATTCACACCCATTTTCTGGAATGAAGAAGAGGAACAGCAAGCAGTGAAGCATCCTTCTTTCTTTATTTCAGCAACAACAAAAGTAAGAGAATTAGACTCTTGGGGACAGGCCAAGAGTTGGGCATGATCATGCTTACAAAGAATTACAAAACCAGGATGAACCCAACATTGCCAACAGCTATTAAAGTCAAGGGACTTTTTCTTTGCATAGTGAATGCAAAAGAGGGAGGCAGAGTTGAAAGTTAAACTCTTCTGCTCTTTGGTTGGTTCTGTTGATCTGAACAGAAGTGTCCCAGTTGGCTTACAGAATATAAAAATGCTGGAAAGAGCTGAAGGCACCAAGAAAAAAGGAAGACCAAATTTGAGATGAAATGACTCCATAAAAACCAGTCTTGAGTTTTACAGGAGCTAAACAGGAAGGTTGATGACAGAACATTCCGGACAGCACTCATTCATAGGATCATCATAGGTTGGGGTCAGCCTGTTCTGACCAGAATTTATGGGGTCACACAGGTCCACCCCTGGAATCTAGAAACCAGCCCATGCCCACCAGCCCTCGACGTCAGGCTCCTCAACCTCACCTCCTGGCTCGCGCGGGTGACACGGGTAGAACTTGGTGGGAGTAGACATTCCGCCAAATATCGAGGTCCTAAACCGTTTAGGGCCTTATATGCGAGCATCAAAACTTTGAAGTCGACATGGAATCGAATGGGCAGCCAATACAATGCGGCTAGAATAGGAGAGATATTTTGGAATTTTCTCGCTCCCAAGTCTGGCCACCGCATTCTGCACCACCTGGAGTTTCCGCGTTAACCTCAAAGGCAGCCCCACGTAGAGCGCATTGCAGTGGTCTAATCTTGAGATTACAAGCGCATGTACCAAGGTAGTGAGTGCCCCCACATCAAGATAGGGTCGCAGCCGGGCTATCCGCCGGAGATGCGGACCACGGACGCCACCTGAGTCTCCATGGTGAGCGCCAGGTCCAGATGGATCCCCAGACTGCATACCCCACTATTTGCGGCAAGGGTCACCCCCCAAAATGAGAGGGAGTCACCCAGCCTGCCAATGGTGGGAGCACCCCCCCTCAGCACCTCCGTCTTGTCCGGGTTCAGCCTTAGCCCATTTTCCTGCATCCATTGCAGTACGGTCCCCAGGCAGTGCTGGAGGGACAGGACAGCATCACCTGCAGTTGGTGAAAAGGAGATGTAGAGCTGGGTGTCATCAGCATACTGGTGACACAAGGCCCCACACCCCCTGATAACCCCACCCAGCAGCCTCATATAGATATTAAACAGCATTGGGGAGATAATCAACCCCCATGGAACCCCACAATTGAGACTCCACAGGGCCGAGACATTCTCCCCAAGCTGTACTCTCTGGGGACGGTCTTCCAAGAAGGAACGGAGCCAGGCAAGCGCCAGGCCACCAATTCCCAGCTCAGAGAGCCTCCCCAGGAGGATACCGTGGTCAACGGTATCAAAGGCCGCTGAAATGTCGAGGAGGACCAACAGAGACATTTTACCCCTGTCAGCCTCCCTCAACAGGTCATCGTACAGGGCGACCAATGCCATCTCTATACCGTGGCGCGGCCTGAAGCCCGACTGAAACGGATCCAGGGCAGCTGTTTCATCCAAGAGAGCCTGATGCTGATCAGCCACCACTCTCTCCACCACTTTGCTAATGAAAGAAACATTAGCGACGGGCCTATAATTGCCAATTTCGTCCGCCGCCAAACTAGGTTTCTTTCTAATGGGCCTAATGAGTGTTTCCTTGAGGGCAGGAGGAACCCTGCCCTCAAGGAAAGACCCATTAATTACTGCCGTAAGTATTTTATAGAGAGCAGCAGAAAAGAAACTAAATGCAAATAAATGTTTAATAAGTTCGGCTATTTCATCATCTCCATCCTCTTAGAACGGCAGAGCTGGAAGGAACCCTGCAGATCATGGAGTCCAGCTCCTGCCAAGGAAGCACAGTGAGAAATTGGACTCCCAGCCTCTGGCTCCACAGCCAGAGGCTGCTCTAACCCACTGAGCTATCCAGCAGTTCCTGACAAGGTTCTAGGGAGATGGGTTAACCCAAGTAGTTTCTATGGGCCAGGTCCTCATTGTCCCCATAAACCATTTGGAACTGTATGTCACACAGAGCTGTTTCCTAGATATAAAAAGACAGCCCTTTTAAAAAGCCAGAAGTGCCTCCTTGCACAGGAGCAATTAAGGCTGAAACAGTCAGGAATGTAATTTTGTTCAGCCCACCAATAGCTTTCCTCCCATGTGGCTTCAAACAGGAGTTCCCAAAGGACAGCATGCATTTGAAGCCACACTTGGTGGAGGTGCAAATTTAGGCAGCATGTCAGAAAAATATTACAGGACATAATTCTCCTAGTTTTCACTAACATATTCCAGGCTTGCTTTTGAACCTAAAAACAAAAGCCACCAGGCTACAGTTACAGGCATCTATATGTAACAACATGCAGCTGAGCTTCCACTTTGCGATGACATAGTAGCAAAGAGCACACAGGCTAGGACATTCCACCTCTGAAAAGAGGAGAGTCTGACAAAGTAACACAGTGCATGGTATAAAGAAACAGGGCAGGATTTATGTCACATTTTTGTGAATATGAAAGAGCTATTTCGTATTTGTCAGGCCCCCAAACCTACCCTCAGGCCTGCTACTGTTGGGAGGTCAGTGTCTGGTGAACTTGCTGTTATCTTGTGAGCAGCCAAGATCCCTAGAAAGAGAGAAATCTTCCTTGTTAGTTTTTCACAGCCTCTTGCCCACTGCTAAGCCACATCATTTAGCACAGAGTTATTACTTCTGTCCTCTGTGCAAACTTCCTGTTTGCCTGCCAGTGCGATCCTCCTGTCCTTTCACATTAGGCAACCCAGGGTGTGGTTACACATTGAAATTCTCCTGATTTGCACTGGATTTAGCACACTTGAAATCCATTTTAAAATATCCATTTACATGACATACAGTTAAGCATTCATTTGTTTTTGGCCAGAAAGTGTTTTTGTTTGTTTGTTTGGAAAGGTTTGTTTTTTATATAAAAACACCCACTAGTGGCTTGTTTTCTCGTGAGAAGAGAAGACTCCCTGGAAAAGACCCTGATGTTGGGAAAGTGTGAAGGCAAGAGAAGGGGACAACCGAGGACGAGGTGGATGGACAGGTCACCGAAGCGACCAATGTGAATTTGACCCAACTCTGGGAGGCAGTGGAAGACATAGACAGGTCACCGAAGCGACCAACGTGAATTTGACCCAACTCCGGGAGGCAGTGGAAGACAGGAGGGCCTGGCGTGCTCTGGTCCATGGGGTCACGAAGAGTCGGACACGGCTGAATGATGAGACAACAAAGTGGCTTGTTTGTTTTAACTCGATTATGAACCCATTTTAGTTTCAATCATTTTTGTATGTTTGCTTGCCTGTGTTGGAGCAAATTGTGTCTGTGGAGTTTGTCAAGTGTCATATTGGATGCCAGAATCATGGGTCTCTATGCTCTAGTAACCTTGCAGAATGTCATCTGTTATATACTGTATTTTTTCCTCTATCTGTAACACCAATCTAGCGCTAGCCAGTTTCAAAAGGAACCTGGAAAAATCACTTTAACCCCTTCTGCTCTTTTTCTCTTCCTCCAGGGCAGTGGAGTGGCTGGGGTGGCTAGCTTTTGTCTGAGGAAGATGGGAGAAGAATGGTGCAGAGGGGTAACCTTGCAATCTCGTTGGTTACATTTTTAAAAAAAATTGTAACATTGATCTAGCCCTTTACGATTTTGGGGAAAAAATCATCACACCACAGCAGAAAAACATGGCTTTTGTTCTGCCAGCCATGTTACTTCAACATGGGGAGTGAGTTGGCAATGGAAATGAGTGGCTGTGAGAGGCAGCCAGAGTGCGGATGGGTGGGCCCAGGACAAAAATCTCAAAATCCTTTCCAGAGCAATGTACTAGCAACCAAAGCATCTTCCCGTAGCTATAGCATAATGGGGTTTTATTTTAGTTTTTTGGTGCAGACATTTCTATCCAAGAATGCATAGCCTCGGGAGGGTGAAACACAGGAAAGTGGAGTCCGCACGATATCAATTTTAAAACTATCTTTTAAAGCCCATTGGGCCCCCTCCACATCTTAGGCCCAGATTAAAAGTTGTCCCAAGAGGACTCGCACACTGACTCAAAAGCTACGTGACTACCATGTGAATTTATACCAATTTCAAAAACCTCAGTCCAGCTCCTGATTTGTTTCAAAGGATAACCATGCTGCCAGCTAGGATGTTCCTTCACCTCCACCATCACAGAAGGAGGATGGAAAACCATAATGCAGCTGAAGACCCATTATTTACTTGCCTGCCCAATATATAAAGACCTAAGAGTAATTCTGTTTAAGGAGTTAGGTATCACACTGAATAGATCTGGTGCATATCTGATAAATTTCCTATGGGGGATAATGCACCATATATTTCTGAAAAGGTAGCTGCTTTTGCTTTTAGAGCAGGAGAATGCAGCTGAAGACCTAACCCATTATTTACTTGTCTGCCCAATATATAAAGACCTAAGAGTAATTCCGTTTAAGGAGTTAGGTATCACATTGAATAGATCTGGTGCATATCTGATAAATTTCCTATGGGGGATAATGCACCATATATTTCTGAAAAGGTAGCTGCTTTTGCTTTTAGAGTAACAGTTTTAAGGAGGAAGTTTTGTACAGTGGACCCTTGACTTACAGACGGCTTGACTTACAGACTTTTTGAGTTACAGACTTCTCTGGCCGCAAAATTTAGGTTTGACTTGCAGCCTGAGAATTGACTTACAGACCAGAAAAAAACCAAAATGGAACAAAAACAGCCTGTTACGGGATTAATGGGTTTTCAATGCACTGTAGGTCAATGGAGACTTGACTTACAGACTTTTTGACTTGAGAACTGCCTTCCAATACGGATTAAGTTCTCAAGTCAAGACCCCACTGTAATGATTACGATCAGGTTTTATCTGTTCTGCCCATGAAAATGCTGATTTGAGATGGTTTTAGTTGAGTAATATAGTCGTTATAGTATTCAAACGTCTTTTGTAATGGCTAAACAAATGAACTTGTAACTAACAATTCCTCCACCTGAAGAATCAGCACAGATCAAAGGAGGTGCATACAAACAGGCAGATGCCTGGGGGAATCTGCAGATGGAATGATCACATGGAATTCCCACCCTTGAGTTTTTTCCTTCCCAGAACTGTGGGAAAAACCAAGTTCTCTTTTGCAACAACGTATGCAGTTTTTTCTGAGCAGTCTGGTTTACAGTCTGATTGTACTTCATTTCTACTGAAGTTTCACAAAGGAAACTTCAAGGAATTTTCTTCATTATGCTAACTGCATGCTAATTAAAAGCATCAATATCAGGAGTGAGTCCAAGGTATTTTACGGCACGCAATGGTTCCTGCCACCTGGGCATCTAAATGCAAGAAGGAGCTCAAATACAAGTAATGAAGACAGCATATACCATCGGTACTAATTTCTCTCTAATTATCATTGCTGCAACATTGCAGATGTCTTACTGTAGAACTGGTTATTCTGGAGTGGGTAGCTTTTGATTAAGACAGAAAAAATGGGTTGAATTTCAACAGAAGTCAGGTTAACACACACAAATCAAATGTAAAATTACCTTTCAACCTATACTCTACTTTTGTAGGATACTGACAAACTTATGTTTTGAATATAGCATGCTTACATGCGCATACACACATCACATAGACGAGGCATGTCATCTGAAAGTGAAATGCATGTGGGCACAAGGCAGGATGAAGAATTTAAGATAACCTGTGATTAGCTAGATTTACATGGTACTGTAGTATAAAGTTACAGCACTAAAGAAAACTCTGGCATCTGCTACAACGCCACTGGGGCAGGTCAACTGTGGTATCGGGGCCTGTGGCACACTGGCACCTGCCTACCTGCTGCAGTGAAACCCCTGGCCAGGGAAAAGGCAAGCTGCCCGGCGCCAATGAAGCCCACACTCATGGTTATCAACAGTTGTGAAGAAGTGGCCAAATGCGTTCCTGGGAGAGAAGAAGAAGAAGAAGAAGAGGCAACAAATGAGATGTCCCGCTGTTCGCAACGCCACCCATCTTCTGACCCTGGTTGGATCCAACAGGGCCGAAGTCCTGGGGCCAAGTCCAGGGCATCCCTCTCCTAGCCGCCGGGACCTCCGGTTCGCTCGCCCGCCTTCAACTTGCCATCTCAGCCTGCGCCTCCCTCCCAGCCCCCCTTTTACCAATCCCATTCCCCATCACTTCTTCCAGGCTTTCCCTCCCAGGCATCCCTCTCCGCATCCCTCTAGAGTAGACTCTCATCTCTCCTTCGCCCTCCGCGCTCTCCTCGTCTTGCCTCCAGCCCCGCCCTTCCTTGGGACCAAATCGATCTCCAAAGCACAAACCTGGCAGCGCCCACGTGGCTTATCCGCCGGAGCTACAAAGAGTGAAGGGGGGCCCCCGTGGCAAAGCGGCAGAGAGAGATAACGTCTCACCCAATCAGAGAAAAGGGGGTGTGGCCTGTCCATGATCTCTCCCAATCAGATACCATGGAGAAGGTCTATGGGCGCAACCTTTGTTTGCGGTTGCATCATTCGATGCCTGAACGGAGGCCGGGAGGGCTTATTTAGCGCTTGACGTTCCCGCAGGTGGTAGTTGGACTGCCGTAACCTGAGCGTATCTAACACCATGATGTAGAGCTGTGGCCACGCTGCCTCCTGGGAATTGTAGTCTTGAGAAAGCAACTGCTGATCGCTCGAAATAGCTGAGCGGTGGGGCGTGGCCGGGCCCTCCTCTCCTATTAGGCAAAAAGAGTTAGTCCTTGCCTGTCGTGGATTGATAACTGGGGGAGGAGATCAGGGGGTGCTTTCTGGGACCAGCAGTGGTACTGGCGGTGGCGCTTTACCCTGCCGAGTCCACGATTTATTCTGAATTATTTGCAATACTGGCGGAGGAGGAGGGAGGTTATGGGAAGCGGGGCAGGAGGAGGGAGAAGCAAAGCACACACAGTGGTTTACAAAATTCTTCCACTGGCCTTTCGCCCGTGCATTGATGTTGGACCTCACTCAGCGTGAGTGGACAGCGCTAGCTGTGGTTCATAAATGCAGCAGAGCTATCGCAAAAGCAGTAGGAATCCTGAAAGTTGTTCCAGGAACAAATTTCTCAATTTGATTATTTTGCACTTTTTCTGTTGTCAGCACCGTACATATGTGATGCAGTTTCTTTTGATTTTTATGTAATTTTAATAAGGCCTTTCTTTCTCTACTGTCTTGAAATAGTACTGTGTGCATAAATGCATAATATGTAATTCCATAATTTTAAAAAATCAATTAAAACATTGGTCCTTTCTGCACCTGGACCCTTTAACACTGGACATAGATGTATAAGAAGGGAGCAAGTGCCAAAGAAAAAGTACCACTCTGTAAGGAAGACTCAACATTCCTTAGAGATAAGCTGCTCTGCGCATGGGAAACTAACTGCTTTGCTGAGATGCGAGAAATTGTAACTAGTGCACATAGTCCTCAAGGACCAATGAACTGCTGCATACTTTTCTTTCCTTTTTCGAACTGTATAAAAACTAACCCTGTTGATCTTGGGGGTCCCCATCCTGCTGGGCACCTGAGTGTGCACTTGTTTTATCTGAATAAACCTGTTGCCCTTTCCTCCAAGAAACTGTCCACTATTGCTTGGGCCTTAGCTTAAGAAAATTAGCTGAGACACCGAGCTCTGGGAGTAACAGGTGGACAACCGTGACTCCATGCAACACTTTGTAGAATAATAGTAAGAATCCTGTTTGCAGTATAGTCCTGTACTATATTTGTGCAAACATTTCCTCTTCCCTGAAAGCTCTTCTCTTCACATGTCCAGTCTTGCAGTGGCTGCAGAATTGGGCCCATTTCTAATTGCTAAATATTTGTGTGAAAAAACTGGCAAGAGGGGCAAAATGGTTGCATGATCACTCTTAAGAGCTAAGGGCACAATTGTTCTGCAGTCTAGCTCTTGTAATTCTGTTTTAGTCCCACAAAACATATTCCCCGACAAAGACAAACAAGTGCTACAGTTTTCATAGATGTCCTAAGTTTTTTTAAAAAGACATTTTTTGTATTTTTAAAAAATTCTGTATATTTACTAGTATTAATTTGTTGAATTTATACACAACATATGTTCCATTTTTCTCTATGAGCTCAAGGTGGCTGTCGTCCTGCTCACTTTGTCCTTGGAAGAACTCTGTGGTCAAATTACGAAAGAGAGACTAGCCAAAGTCCACCCAGTATTTTCATGGCTCAGTGTGAACTAGAACCCACATCTCTCAAGCTTTCCTCCATTGCTCTGACCACAACACCATAATGGCACTTGATGCACTTTATAACAAAAATAAAATGAAACTAAATGAAAATATAAACATTAGGAAAAAGGCAACTGCAAGTTGTTAAAATGTAAGGGTGAAAGGAGCCAATTGTTGCAAGAAATTTAGTGACAGAGAGGTAAGCAGATTTATAATGTATTTGTCACCTTGGACTGTAGGAGCCTCCTGGTGCAGTGGTTAAACTGCTGTACTGCAGCCAAAACTGTGCTCGCAACCTGGGGTTCAATCCCAGGTAGCCAACTCAAGGTTGACTCAGCCTTTTGACTCAGCCCTTTCTCCTTCCAAGGTCAGTAAAATGAGTACCCAGCTGGGGGGGGGGCAACGTATAGCCTGCATAATTAACTTATAAACCTCTCAAAGAGTGCTTTAAGTGCTATGGGGTGGTATATAAGCAGCATGCTTTCCTTTTCTTTTTTAGGATTGAAACAAATTTTAAAAAGTAAGAAAAAAGCAAACTCAGGCTGTGACTACAAGATTGAATGCTGCAGGGTTTGCTGTGCTTATAGTACGGGTCAATTCAAAGTATTTTGTTCTAATCACATAATGCAAAGGCTGATTTGAATTGGTCCAACCCTTTTTGCTCCCAACACAGCTTTTTTTTCTGCCTCAGAGGTTTCTACTTTTTTTAAGTGGGAACTATTTGAATGGACTTTTTCCCATATGATCAGTAAATTTTGTTCTTTTAAAAACAGGGAACACGTCTGAGGGTAGGTGTTTTGGTGATCTAGGCAATTGGGATTTGATGTTCAGGACCATGGGAACACCTGCACCCATATTTTTCCTCAGATTGTCCTCTAATTTTTTTTTCCATTTATATATTTGTGTCTGTATGTGTATGTCTATGCATATCATATTAGCACTAGACCACCCTATCACTAGTATTAAAGTACAAATTTAATGCTAGATCACCACTGGATGAGAAAAAAAGTAAAGAGCTACATATAAAACAGAAACAACCCAGACAAAAGGCATTCCTGTGATATGTGTTATTTCTGTACATGTTAAAAAGAACTTTGGAATGCTGCCCCCTTTTGCAGAACACTGTACAGTCCTTTCAAAACCAAGCTGTTTGACAATGAAGAACCATAAAAGGATCAGCAGAGGTGCGACTAGAGAAAAGAATGAAAGAAGGGGGAGCTGTGGGCTGAAATATAAATCACATCCCATCAAGTGTGAACCCTGACACACACACCCCAACCAATCTGCAGACCCTGTGTGATCACTGACTGTGAATTCAGTTGTAATACAGGCCGTGAATCAAATTACATTAGAGAAGAGCTGAAGGGGAGCTGTTGAAAAGCAGCTTGAATTAGTCAAGAGCATTTTGATGCTTGGCATACGAAAGTCTGGAGCTGCCCTAGCTTGAAAGTGTGGGAAACTGCTGTGCTTTTGTTTCTGTTTTACATCCACTGGTGAGAGCTGCTGAGGCAAAAGAGAGGATATAAATCCCTGAAATTAACACACACCTTGACTAAGCAAGTAATTTTTTAAACAGGGGTACAAGAAAAATAGTGAAGTGTAACAGTTTAGCATCATGATAATCTGGATCTTTCAGAGTGGCAAAGTGAGTGAGTGACAGCAAATTACACCTTGCGGGGGGCGGGGAGACCTGTGTCTTAATACCAGCATTCAGAGCAGGAGCACGACCAAAGACCTATATTGATGAGGCAGCTTCTGGGAGGGAGAGTCATTCCTTAAGTAGGCTTTCCCTCAGGACTCCCAGGTAGACAAAATCCTGGTTTGTTAAAAACTGTGATGCAAAGCTTGTCCAGTCCACACCTTCCACTACCTGGTTCGGGTTGCCACCAAACAAAGTCCCTCAAACCCTTTCACTAAATTTAGGGTTCCCATTTAACTTATAATAGGGGTTGTTTTGGTGGCACAACCTTGAATATGTATTCCACTATTGGCTTGTGATACAGGTGATGTAACATGTTGTGACTGCTATTATCAAACATAATAGGATTTGTAAACCAATAAGAAAAACATATTTTTAAAATACAAAATAATATGAAAGTTCAGTATTATAAGCTGTCAGTTTTTTTATTATACAGCTGAAACCTCATTTACTTTACTTTTTCTTTTCTTTATTTTTAGTTGAAAGTTATATGTGAGTGTATTTGTTTATAAACTTACTCTGGTTAAAAAAAATTAAGGCAAAAACCAAAACATTTTGCTTGAATACTTCTGGCTGTTAGTAATTTTTGTTAGTGTATGATTATTTTTGTGATTAACAGCATATTTCAAAGGGATCCAGAAAAGCCTGATTGAAGTGCTGTTTAGTTCTCATTACCTATGTATGTGTGTGGATGCTTGCTTTTACATAAGTTCCAATGAAAACACATTATATTTTCTCAACTTTTTAATAACTGATGCAGCACATTTTCATTGCTCAAATAGAGGTGCTCCTCCTTCCTGTGCTCCTCCACTGTGGAGCAGAGCAAGTGCTTAATTAGGAATGAAACAACCTGTCCGTGCAATGGCACAAACAACAGACTTAACATCCATGTACAGTAATTAGTCTCTGAAACACCGGTCTCCTTTTTCCCCTCCCTTCTTCCTATCAGGGTCCATGTTGTGCACAGTTACCTTCAACAGCATAGGCAAGGGCACCAGGACCCAGCAAACAGCACAGAGGCCAAGCCCAAACTCACACACGGACTAACTAGCCAGGATAGGAGCAGAAACCAGAGTACCGGGACTAGAAGCAGGCCACAGGAGTGGGAGCACCGAGCAGGAGTCAGGAATTCAGGGCCAGGAATACCAGCATTCAGAGCAGGAGCACGACCAAAGGCCTATATTGATGAGGCAGCTTCTGGGAGGGAGAGTCATTCCTTAAGTAGACCTTCCCTCAGGACTCCCAGGTAGACCTTATGACAGCCCTGGCAGGATATGATCCTGCAATCACTAGGCTCTTCCTGGGACCAAGCTGGCCCTGATCCTGCAGCTGCCAGGGCAGTGGTGGAGGGGAAGCCCTGCTGCCACCCAGATCCTGACACTTCCATACCCTTTCTGACTTAACTGTTTCCAAAAGTTCATAACTGCCCTTAGGCAGGTATATAAAACAGCATGTCAGCCAATCAGGACACACTCCTGTTCACACTGATTATGTCCTCCCTCCCAATTGAT